ATACTGGATCCTATCTTCTGCCACCTTCCAGGGAATGTAGCTACTCATTCTCCCAGTCCAACTCCTTTCTCTGCAGATGAGGTGTCCTCCAACCTAGCAGTGACTAGGGGAAAGTGGGGAAAGGCCTGTGTTCTGCTGCTGTCCCAGGCCCTTGTAAGAAACTAGGCTCAAGAAAGGTAATAATTTTGGTCTGGTACAGTGACAGTTGTCTTCTTTCTAGCAGTGCTAGGATCTGGTGGGCAGGGAAGGTGAATCCCATCTCCTCCTGAACTAGTACTTACCCTGTCTCAGTACAGAAGTTTGAAGACCCTTGAGTCAAGTGACTATTGTAGGCTGGGACAGCAAGTCCTGAGCAAAGGAACTATCTGGTTGGATTGAAATTCTGAAGCTTTACTAGGAACTCTAGAAGGTTTAGGCTTGAGTGTCACAGGGTATGACTCAGAGAGGTGATTAGTCTGTGCTTGTCCTGGATAACTTCTGATTGAGGAAGCCTTTGGTCTGATGGCTCTAGAATCATCTGAACATCCTTGCAGCTTTTGAGTCTGACTTGCCTTTCTCTTTTCTGAGCAGTTCAGAGTGATGAGTTGTTAAATAATTGTGGAATTTGGCTGTTCCACACTTAAGTTCAATGCTTTTTCTATTGTATGTAAAAATGGTATTGCATAACAAAAATTTGAACAGAATATTCATGCTGGTAATTTAAGATTTAAAATTTGATAGAATGTTTAAAACCAAATTAAATTCTAAAGGGCCTGAGTAGTTGGCTCTTCTTAAGTCTGCCATCTGAAGCTCACATAATTTGTCATATAGGCTCGGGCTGTTTCTCTCTGGCTGCTGCTGTCCTTGATGGTTGTCCCATGCTATTGGCATCTCCTGTTGCAACTTGGCTGGATTTTCACCAGCAGCCTTTTCTGAGCTTTCTTCACTGACTCTTCAACATGATGCCGAGTCTCAACTTTTCTCCACGGTCCCTCCAATCCTCCAATCTAGGGCCTGCTCCTGCAACTGCAGCTGCACCTTTAACAGAAGTGTTTCGCAGTCTCTTTCCATGGACTCCAGATCTGCCACACAGTGCTAAGCCTCAGCTTGCCTCTGCCACTCCTTCCTGTGACACTTAGACAACCACATTTGGCTGCTAGCATGGCATGCAGCCTTGGCCCCCTCTGGAGTGTAGCTTCTGCATGCTGACCTTCAAGGAGTCCTTCTAGATTTATGATTCTCAATAATCCTGTTCTCTTCTTAATCACAGATACTTTCTCAGCTTAATCTAGCCAGCATCAATTGTTTCAGTGAAGCAAAGGTTTCACTTCAGTGGTGCTGATCTCTTGTTTGCTATAGCTAACTCTTCAGCTCCAGATGACCAGACACAACAGATCCTTAATTCAATCTAAAGTTTGAAAGTTCTGAGAGTCTTGTTTTAGTCACTTTTCTATTGCTGTGAACAGACACTATGACAAAAACCATAGCAACTCTTAAAAAATGGAGTGTTTAATTGGGGACTTGCTTACAACTGTAGAGGGTTAGTTCATTCTTATGTGATGAGCATGGTAGCACGTGGGCTGTCACGGCACTAGAGTATTTGAGAGCTACATCGTGTTCATAGGCAGGGTGGGAGGTGGTATGAGTTTCTGAAACCTCAAAGCCTACCCTCAGCAACCCAGCTCCTCCACCAATGCCACACCTACTGCACCAAGGCTATGCCTCCTAATCCTTCCAAATGATTAATTTAGCCAGCAAACGTATGAGACTAGCCATGCAAATATATGAACTTTGAGGAGCCACTCTCATGTAAACCACCACAAGTACTTAAGGGACTTCCAAACATTCCTCTGAAATGTCACAAGTCATGCCTCTATCATCTGCATTTCTTTCAACACCTTTCTCTTTCAAACTCCCAGCATTTGTCTCTTAAATTCCCACTATAGCTCATTAAACTCTAAACACTCAATGGCTTTTCTAGCCCAAAGTTCTTCCATAATCCTTCCAAAAGCACATGATCAGGTCTGTCATAGCAATATTTCACGAGCTGGTACCAATTTCTGTCTCAGTAGAGTTTCTATTGCTGTGATAAAAGACCATCACCAAAATTAACTTGGGGAGATGAGGGTTTATTTCACATTGAAGCTTATACTCTATCATCCAGGGAAGTCAAAGCAGGAATTCAAGGCAGGAACCTGGAGGCAGGAGCTGATACAGAGGTCATGGAAGGGTGTTGCTTAGTGGCTTGCTTCCCATGGCTCCTTCAACCTCCTTTCTTTTTTAATTTTTTCCTAATTAATTAATTTATTTATTCATTTTGTATCCCAGCTGCTGTAGCTCCCTTCCTCATCCCCTCCCAACCCTACCCTCCCTCCTCCTTCTCCTCCTATGCCCCTCCCCCAGTCCACTGATAAGGGAGGTCCTTTTCTCCTTCCATCTGAACCTAGCCTATCAGGTCTCATCAGGACTGGCTGCATTGTCTTCCTCTGTGGTCTGGTAACGCTACCCCCACTCAGGGGGAGGTGATCAAAGAGCTAGCCACTGAGTTCATGTCAGAGACAGCCCCTGTTCCCCTTACTAGGGTACCCACTAGGACATTGAGCTGCCATGGGCTACATCTGTGCAAAGGTTCTTGGTTATCTCCATGCATGGTCCTTGGTTGTTGTATCAATATTGGAAAAGACCCCTATGCCCAGATATTTTGGTTCTGTTGTTCTCTTTGTGGAGCTCCTGTCCCATCCAGGTCTTTCCATCTCCCCCTTCTTTCACAAGATTCTCTGCACTCTGCCCAAAGTTTGGCTATGAGTCTCAGTATCTGCTTCAATACTCTGCTGGATAGTCTTTCAGAGGCCCTCTGTGGTGGGCTCCTGTCCTGTTCCCTGTTTTCTCCCTCTTCCTATGTCTATAACGTTTGTCTTTCTGGCTGAGGATTGAGGTCCTCCAGTGTCCTCCTTCTTGCTTGGCTTCTTTAGGTGTACAGATTTTAGTAACTTGCACAACCACTTTGGAAATCAATCTGGTGCTTTCTCAGAAAATTAGGAATAGTACTACCTCAAGGTCCAGCTATACCACTTCTAGGCTATATCCAAAATATGCTCAAGTATGCAACAAGGACATTTGCTCAACCATGTTTATAGCAGCTTTATTCACAGTAGCCAGAATCTGGAAACAACCCAGATGTCCCTCAACTGAGGAATGAATACAGAAAGTATAATACATTTACACAATGGAATACTACTCAGCAATTAAAAACAAGAAAATCATGAAGTTTGCAAGCAAATGGATAGAACTAGAAAAGATCATCCTGTGTAAGGTATCCCAGAAGCAGAAAGACACACACGGTATATCAACCTGCTTTCTTATGCCACACAGGACAGCTGCTCAGGTATGGTACTGCCCACAATGAGCTGTGCCCTCCCACAGCAATTATCAGTTAATGAAATGGTCTACAGACTTGTCTGCAGACAAATCTGGTATGTGCGTAAGAGTGTCTGTGTGTGTGTGTGTGGTGGGGTTTCTTTACTGAGGTTCCCTCTTCCCAAATAACTTTAGCTCTGTTCAAATAAAACTAGCAGCCACCACAGCATCTTTAATGGGACTTTTAGAAAACATGGTTTGTGAAGCTCAGGTTGCCTTCAAACAATATATAGCTAAGCTAAGGCTGGTCCTTAATTCCTGATGCTTTCTTCAAACGATTAGATTATAGATATGTGCTAACATACATATATCTAATTTGTATTTTAATTAAGAGCATCTCTACCTTTATTTTTCAAGGGGGCCTGACAGTTATGTAGATGGTTCCAGTACATATTCTCTCATGACAACTCCCACCTTGGGAAGCTGAAGCTGCAGATAACAAGGCACCTTTTGTTTGGGTGTGCCATTCACATGTCCATGCCTAGCTCTCTTGGTCTTATTCTTTGTCACATAAGTCCTAAATGCTTGCACAGTTCAACCAGGAAAGATAATGGCCCCTCTGATAAGCTGGAAGGTGTGTGCTCAGGTGAAAACCCCACGACATACACTCATCATCCATTTTCTCCCCATGCTGTAGCCCCTTGGCATTTTTGAGAAATGGTTTCTGAGTACCTTTCAATACCAAAAATTTTAGATGCTCAAGTCTCCTGTATAAAATGGAGCAGTGTTTGTATGGGACCTATACATACCCCCAAATACTTTTAAATGTCGCTGGATTACTTACAATGCCAAATACAATATAATTGCAATGTTAATAGTTAATGTGCTATATTATTCAAGAAATGAGAAGAAAAAGTCTGTGCATGTCCATTACCAATGCTGTCAGCATTATAATGCCTACAGCTTCTATCTAGTTGGTTGATTCTATGGGTGTGGAACTTGCAGATTGGGTGACTGCCTGTATTCATGATCTGATCATCTAACACATGAAAACCTCTTTCACATGGCCCAGTGTTTGGTAAGGTCAGTGATTATTGTTGTTGTTTCCTTTTCTCCTTTCCTTATTGTCTGTGAGTCTATCAATATTTATCACGACTGTTTCATTATTTTTTTCACTTGAGAAATCCTTCCAAGATCTTTCTGTTCATCAAGAAGGGGTGGGAGGATTCTCTGTTTCCTGATGCTGGTCCGTGGAGCACAGGGGTGGCTATCAGGATCCCAGCAGCTTGCTCTGCCTAGCCTTCCTTGTCTTGTTTATAGGCAGCATTCAAGCTGGAAAGACTCACCATGCCCCTGACTCTCAGGAGAATGCAACGTATGACCGTGTTTTTTCTGGAGACCAGCCAGTCTTGACTGTCATCTTTTTTATTTTATTTTTTCTGGTGGGAGCTGGGCTGAGGCTGGGAAGGTGAGGAGGAGAGATCTTTCGCCTGCACTTGCCTGGAACTGACAGTGGGTAAGCCCCCACCACTTCTGCTATAGGAGTAGTAGTGATATTTGCAAAGGGAAATTTGCACCTGTTTGGAGCTGGCTTCACATTGAGAACACAGGGAACAAAAGCAAAGGCCAGCACATCCGTAATGGGTACTGCCAAAATTACTTACCGAAGACATCTGCGAGGCTGTCAGCCATTCAGGAGGGATGTGAAAATGAGCCCCGGCGGAGTCTCCCAGCAAAATGATTCCCCTGGGCTGTGAACCTAGGAAGCACAATTTATTTACATTATTTATATACTCAAGCAGTGGGCAGTCTCCGGAGTGAGTAAGGTATACGAGCAGACATTCTGGGGTGTATCGAATGCACAGTACATCTCAACAGTGATACATTGCCACTTCTCAGGTGTTGGAGAATGTGAGGGGAGAATTTAGGAGAATTTAGGATGAGATTCTCTCAGCCATTGGAACTGCTAGCTAAGCTGCACTAACACAGGTGTCCTTCCTGGCTCAGCATAAAAGCAACTGCTGCACAACATCCGGAGTGGATGATGGATGAACACATGAATCAGGCTTGATCTGAGTTCAGAAAGATGACCTACATTTCAGTTCTGGAAATGGCTTTCTTAGAGAACACACTGATTCTCCTTAAGAGATAATGACCTCACGGAGCAATTTTGATAGTTTAAAATGTGATGGTCTCTTAAAGTCCTTAAATCCACATACACAAAAGGTACCAGATGGACGATTCTGGCTGATTAATAGAAAGAAAGAGTTAGGAAGGTCTCTGTGCAGCCTGCATGTGGATATGAGAATCACTTAATCAGATTCTGAGACACTTCTACACAAATCACTTACTGGAGGGTACACCCTTCTAACCACTTAAGGGCCTAGAAAAATCAAATGATCCCTTTAGAGTCAGAGAAGTCTCCTTCCTCCATACCCAAACCACTGAAACGAGTCCTAGGCTGGCCCAGCCTTACTGTGGTGTTTCCCTAGCCCTGGCTTTTATGGAAGCTGCCTCTGGACCATAAGAATGGAGACAAAGAGGGCTTAGGACATTGAAGGGAACAATGTGCTGGGTTCTGGAGATTCAGGAGTCTTCCTTCCTGGACTCACTAGCCTAGAAGGTTTAGAGTTTCATCAAAATCTGCATTTGTTGCTTATTATGACTATTGTTGTTGTTATATTATTGCAGTCCTGGAGATTGAACCTTAGATCTCATGCATACTAAACTAGTGTTTCATCACAGAGCCACTCCCCAAACTGCAGATTTATTCACAACTTTATCTCCTATTTTTCTTCTTTTTTTGTGCTGAGGATTAAACTTAAGACCCAGCACATGCTAAGCCAATGCTTAGCTATATCCCCAGCCCTGCTTTTTACGTTTTGTTTGAGACAGGGTTTCATTAAGTTGCTCAGGCCAGTTTGAAATCACCTGTAGCCCAAATAAGACTTGAATGTTCAATCCAATCTCTTACCTTAGCCTTTTGAGTATATGAGATTACAGGCTTGTGACACCAGGCTTAGCTATAAACTTATTCATTCTTTTTGTCAATCATCAACTATTTCTAATTTGTGTAACTATGCAATGGGTCTTTCAGTTTCCTATTTTCTTCTTTGCCCCTCTAAGGACTTAGAAACAACTAGGTGTTAGGTTGATCTTTGTCAAAGTTTACTTTAATCAAGTGTAGCCCTTCGGGTAAAATAGAGTAGTTATACAGGAAACACCTTTCGAATGAGTGCATGACTAAAAAGCATCTTCAAGGAAGAAGAGAAGAATTGATTAATATAAAACAGGAAAAATTCTTAGTTTTTGTTCCCCCTTGGAATGGGTTTTCAGACTTGTGGCTCAGATGCCCAGGCATTTGGGCCTTTAGAGTAGGAAGCTTTTACTTTAACTATTTCTGGATGGCTCTGCTGGCTGAAGCTTGGCTCCTCTCTTAGGTCATTCACATATTCATCTTTAGAGACTGTCTTCCCAGTATAGGGTGATTAACCTTAATGTATGTTGAAAAGGATATACGAATGATTAAATATTACTTTCTGTGTTGTTATTTGGATAAGCCCCAGATTTTGATTACTCTGTTATCCACCCTGCAGTCTTCTCTAATGTTATCATTAATGTTTCCTGGCCCCAAGTGAAAGCATCAATTAGACAAATTACATCCTGCATCTTCTAGATCTGCCTTCTCTTTTGTTCCTGTCTTTTTCTGATAGGTTCTGAAAACTAATATAAATTAAGTACTTTAAAGTAACTGCTAACCTTAGACACAGCCTCATAAAAATGTCTGTATTTTTTTCTTTTCCATTTGATTGAACTAGAAAAGAAGCATCTACTGTGGTAAGACAGGAACTTTTAGTTCATACCTTCACAGAATTTCTTCTCATATGGAATTCCATCCTTTGGATCAATACCCTTTTAAAGAGAAATGAAGAGATTAGGAGTATAGTCTTAAATTTATGACACACATACACCAAATCCTTCCCAACCGAATTTAACATGCAAAGCAAATCAATATATAAAACCCTTTCAAGCCTCCTGGGCCTCTAATTCAACATAACAATACTCCATGTAATGAGCTAGGTTTAAGAGGAATTGAGAATAGAACAGGAAGATAACAAGAAATGAGGCTTACTCCTTCAGAGCAATCTGTGGCAACCACTTAGAAGTAGAGCTGGGTCAGGAGTGAATCTTCTTGAAGGACTGAGGGCTGACTGGGTCTTGAGGACATAGTCAAGGGTGTGTACTACAGTCTGCCAGCTGGAGATCAAGTGTTCAGACATCTCAGGAACACCAACTTTCCATCCATTTCACCCTTGTATCCCACACTTAACCCAGGGGACATTGATGCAGAGTGGAGACACTTGTGGTTGCCACAGTGGAATGGGGTACTCTTGACATCTTGTGGACAGGGTCATAGGAGGCTGCAAAATATTCTAGTTTATAAGATGATATGTCTAACTTAAATGTCAACAACTCCAGGGTTAAGAAGCCCCAGAAGGGCAGGGAGGCTCTGAGTAGGACTGAGTCATCAAATCAAACCGCCAAACTGACAGTGGAGAACCTGTCTCTTGGAAAAGACATTAGAAGTATTTTTAAGACAAAGGTGCTTCCTGGCCAGAGATATGATGGAAACAGTGAGTTCTTGCTCCTGATCTTGAAAGCTCAAAAACACACACAGAAACACATGAAAAGTTCAGAAAGAAACAGAAACATTCATCTTTGTTTGTCCTTGTTCCTGACTTTGTGGTTCTGAGTCATTTCTCCTCTGAAGAAAGGATAGGGTTTGAAGATCTGAAGATCATTCTCCCTCTAATTGGGAACAACGAACTTCAGATTTTGCTTTCTGAGCTCATGGCGGATTTGTTTCAGTCTTTGCTTGGCCACCTCTTTATGGAAGTGGCATACCATGTCAGAAATAGGAGGGACAAACAAAGCATTCTAATATACTAATCCTTTATGCTGAGGTAAGACAATAAAGCTTGGGTTTATCACAAAAAGAGCTATCTTGGGTATTCTACACCTTAAGGCTCTAATATTAATATTCTACCCCATTAAAAAGGTAGCTTGACTCAGTGTAGAATGTTTGAGGTGGACACAGTTATCTGTCATGCTGTCTATATCCCAGAAGCCATAGGTCCTCATGCATACTGTAGGGGCTTGCTAGTGCAAGCCTGGGCCACTGTTGTCCTTGAGAGAGAAAAATACTTCTAGGAACTTTCTTCTCTTTGTCTAAGCAGAAGAATAAAGCAACAATTTCCTTCAAAACCAGCAATCCTTATCTTCAAGGCTCCTTGCCTGCACAGCTTCTGTTTGTGGGAGCCTGGGAGTGGCTGAGAACTCCTTAACAGGCTAGGTCAGTGGTTCTCAACCTGTGGGTCATGACCCTTTTGGAGGTCAGATATCAGTTATCCTGAATATCAGATATTTACATTATAATTCAAAGCAGTAGAAAAATTACAGTTATGAAGTATAATATAAACATACTATAATATAGATAATATAAATTATTACTACTTCATAATTCATGGTGGGGGTCAACACAGTATAAATAACTGTATTAAAGGGTCAAGGGTCACAACACTAGCAAGGTTGAGAACTGCAGTTCTAGGAAGAGCGGAGAGGCCATGGTCTTGATAGGATGTAAGTATTTCCATAGCAGCACTTCAGGCTTGTGGAAAAAAGACCTCAAAAGAAACTGACCTGAATTTCTAAGACTGGTGATTTGTAAGGATTTCTTTCATGTTTCTAAGTAATAATCTACTTTCATACTTGAATTTGTATTTTTAAGTTGGTTTCTTTTTTTCCACAAGGACCCTCAAATTATGTAAACTTAACATGACTGTAACAAATGAATCTGCAGCCATTGTTGCCCACAGGTAGGTATTGGATTGGCTTTCTGATTTCTCTCCCTGAAAGCTACCAACCCATTATGTGCGGAGAGCTAGGGTAGCAGGATCAGAAGCTTTTGGGTATAAGTGGTGGATGCAGGGTAATTCCCATGTTGTCTGACAAGGCATACGAAAGAAAACAAATGTTTGTCACAAAATGGCAACACCTTGTGGCTTTCCCCAAAGGCTGTGTGGGTGCTATAGACTGCTAACACCAACTTCCTTTTCATCACACTGTTCAAACAAGAATGAAGGAATTAGACAGGGGTGACTACAGCATGGCTTAGCAGGGCTCTTTATGTCTGAGTGAGCCTCCGTCCTGAGAACACCACCGAGGATCTTCCTATGTATTGGGAAATCTCTATCCCTCATGCAAGTAGCAGGAGAACAGTTCCCCTAGGCTCCCATCTTCCATGTATGGCCCAAGAAAATACACACTGGGGAGAACAGAAATTAAGAGCATGTGTTCGATTTTAACTCATTGCTTACCCAGATGCCATTACAGTTAGAGTCCCGATGGATATCCCAATTGTCTGGCCTACAAAGAAAACATCAGCGTTGGTCTTTTGGCGCATACAAAATGCTCAGGGAATGTTAGTTCCATGAACATGTGTCACAGGAAACGCCACTGTAAGACAACACTGTTCTTCAAGGAAGAGCACCCCATATGTGCTGTGACATATAACAGCTTCTTAGAAGCCTCTGCGTTCTTGATTTGGAGTATTTCTCAGAACCTAGCCTTGAAGCCATTCTTTTCAATGACTGAGTGTTCCTGTGGACTGTGTAGTCGTGGACTGGTGGGCAGAAATAACTCAGCAGCTCGTTTTCTTTAGCAAGGTAAAGCTGTAAAAACTGCCTGTGAGCTGGGCATCAAGCACCTTGTCAGCTTGCTGTTCTAGCAGTGGAATCACAGTGTCAGCAAAGGTGCCCCAGCCATGTTTTGGAGGCAGAACTATGGTTGTTGAACAGCAGGTCAGGATGCCAGCAGGACATGTGTCACATTATTTGAAGTCCACACCTTGCTCAAAGGGCTAAACTTCTGGGTCTAACTTACCAGTAGATCTCACTTGGGGATTGTGTCATTTTCGTATAACTTGCTTCTCCTACTAGACTGTTGTGTCATCAAAAGAGGCAACTTTCTTTTTTGTTTAGTGCCTAATGCTACCCAGAGTACTTTGCAAGTATTAGGTTTTTGGTAACCATATTTGGACAAAAAACTGTGTGCATGAAAAACTTCAGGACCCTTTTTCTGCAACTGGGGTTCCCCACGTTGGGGAAAGCCATTGTGTCTCACCCCAACAAGAGTTACCTTCTGCCTGGGTACACTGTCTTGTCACTGTCATTACAATCTCTCCCTCGCCAGTGGTAGCCCCTCAGCGTCTGAAATTGAAGAACACACACAAGAGGAGGTTAGGCCTGCTTTGATGTTGCACAGAGGGAAGGTTAATCAGAGCTGTCCAAGGGAGATTGACATCTGTAGTTTTTAACTCGAATGTTGACGGTAAGTAGGGAAATTAAGGTTAATATAAAACAAGCTGTATGAGGGAAAATGTAATGACACTAAACCCAGAAATAGGCGGGCATGTATGTGTAAATGAATGTGTGTTTATGGGTGACATTGAGTGTGTGTCTGGAGGTGTTAGAGTGTATGTATATATGTACGTGTGTGGGTATATACATGTATATGTGTGTGTGCCTTACATGTATGTTGTGTGGCAGGTGTATGTGTGTGAGTATATGTCTGTGGCTGTGGCTCTCTGTATATGTATATGTGTCCATGCATATTCTTAGAAACAGCAGGACTGTCCAACCAGCTGTTCTGTTAACCACCAGTATTCTCAGGGTATAAAATAATCCATCTATTTGGCCAGTAATGAATCTTTTTCGTTGGATAACTTAAAAATAATTTACGTGAACTGTCAATCATTTGGATTTGTATTTTGATGAATAGCATGAAAGAACCAGAAATCAAAATTCTATCAGTCAATGCTTTCTTTCCTAGGGTTTCTAGAAACCTCATTGGCATCCTATCAACTCTAAGCCCAACCCCTTTGGCAACACACTTTAAAGAGTAAATTCAAGCAGGTGTATGGATTTCCAAAAGACGTCACACTACCCATTTAGATAACAATAGTCCCCATGGAGAGCCGCAGCTGGGAGTGGGAAGTAGAGGAAACAGAATGTCTGGGTCCATAGTTTACCTTTATGGCTGATGTTTTTATGAAGTTGAAAAAGCCCTTATGCTTGTGAACTGGAGTATGTTCTGTATGTTCGTAAACAAAATTCAGTCTTGTCTTATTAAAGGAGAGAAACTTGTAGATAAAATATAATACGCAGTTCAATGAACACCTGTTCCCTCACAACAGTACTCACTGGGAAGACACTGTATTTGTCTGAATCTGTATCTTTGAACGGCACGGCCTTCTTTATAGAGCTAGAAAGGAAAACAAAACACCCGGTGAGCTAAGAAAAAAAAAAGGATGCTTGTGAAAATAACCATGTTCAAATGCAGGCTGTTCTGTGACAGACGCTGATCTAAAAATAAAGCCTGGAGTCTGTGGGCATATTAGAGCATCAGTTGCACTTGGCCAATTGCTGCTCTTTATTAGGAATTTTTTTTTATTGCTTAACTTGGGCCATTTGGGAAGGAAAAATAAATGAATTGGAGTTTGTAGGTGACATGTTGGTATGGTACCCATGAAATAGGAGGCTACCTGTTGAGTCTAGTCAATGAACCCCATCTGTCCTGTGGTGGCTTGAATAGGAATGGGTCCCATAGGCTCATATATTTAAATGTTTGGTCATAAGGAAGTGGTGCTACTTGACAGAGATTAGGAGGTGTGGCCTTGTTAGAGGAAGTGTGTCATTGGGTGTGGACTTTGGGGTTTCAAATGCTCAAGCCAGGCCATATGTCTTTCTTTCTCCCAGCTGCCTGTGGATTCAGGTATCAAACTCTCAACACTTCCAGCATCATGTCTGCCTGCATGCCAGCACTCTCCTTGCCATAATGACAATGCACTAAACCTCTGAAGCTGTAAGCAAGCCCCAGTTAAATGTTATCTTCTATTAGAGTTGCTATGACCATGATGTTCTTCACAGCAATAGAGTAAGACAATTCCAAATTGTCTTTGTACCCTTTGCATGCTCTCTTTAAAAATAAAATGTTCCTTTAAACCACTTACTCTAGGAATCTTTGGCATTTAATGGACATTATCTGGTAACTTACACACCTCCTTATGAGACTGGGTAGCCAAGGACACAGGCATGATGGCCAAAATGAATCAGACCAAAGCTATGGATACTCTGAAAGGAAGGACATCCCTGTGCCTTGTTACCAGACAGTTCCTTCTTCAAATGGAAGCACTGATTTCCCCTTCATTGTGTGTGTGTGTGTGTGTGTGTGTGTGTGTGTGTGTATGTGTGTGTGTGTGATCAGATATAAGACAGAGGGACAGAGGAAGGATGCAGTCATGGGGGAGGATGAGGCTGTGTATAGAACCTGAAATCTAGAGTTAGTAACAAGGGACTGTGTGAGATTTTGTACTGGTCTTTGGAATAAAGAGCATCCAAGCAGACTTGAGAGCTTTGATGTCAATGAATGGAGCTTAAAAACAAGTAGGGTAGATATTGACAATCTATTTATTTACCCAAAGAAGGGGTCTGAGAGTCTAGAAAGCTGGTGAGAACAGGATGAGTCCAACTCTCAGGTTTACTCTTGGCCAGATCTGTAGCCATTGGAGAGTAACTTTACCTATTTGAAAGGGGACAATAATAGCCCTCGCCTCAACAGATACAGTCATTCTTGATATATTGAGAGCATGAGCTAATTTTGTTATAATGATGATTACTGAACCACAGACTGGCTGAAAAAGCAAAGGCCACTGCACTTACATGTCCTTTGTAAATTGTAAATCACCAAATACCTTATGGTGTGACACAAATTATAATGGAAGCACATAGGGTTCTCTTCTTTTATTTTTTTGAAAAGAATAAAACATGTGCTGTTTTTACTTCTCTCACAAATGAACAATTTTCCTTTTAAGTTGGGTCAAGAAAATCCATGGTTCCAGATGCTCCTGAATTCAAAATGTCAAAGGTTGTTCTGTTATAAAGTTGTCACTTGGATTGCACTGGAAATTCCAATGGTGCCATTAAGGAAGAGATGCGGGTACCAAATCAGCTCGAGCTGGGCACAATACAATGACTGGACATCTGGGAGGTTGGCTGAACTGAAGCTTGAAGCATCTTTTTTTCATGTCTGACAGTCCCCTTGTCTCATAACCCAAGGCACCCTGAACCTAACCCCATCCACAGAAAGATGTGAAGTTATTGGTTCTGGGATTCAGGCCAGCTAGCTTCCAGGCTCTTGTTGGCTGAAGAGCTAGGAAAGGTTTATAACTATTAGGATATTCTGAATGTGGGTCAGACCCAGGGCTGCCACCATCTTTCTCCAGCGTTGCTAATAGTGGCCTAGAGATCTTCAGCAAATGTAGTCCCACAAAGTTCAAGTGATGATGGATTGCAGAGCATGGGGAAGATTTCATCATGACTTAAATTATATTCATTGAAAACATAAGTTAAAGTTTTAACTCCCAGTAGCTGTGGACCTGGACTTAATCTAGGTAGGTCTTTGCAGATGTAATCAAGTTAATATGAGGTGCTGAGGATAGGCCTTCATCAGATAAGACTGGCAGGTTATAAGGGGTAAAACAAACACCTGGAGGGGGTGTGAGCCTATGAAAAGTGAAAGTAAGTATTGGAGGGGTTCGGCTAAGGGGTTGATGGCTACCACATCATCCAGGAAGAAGCATGGAATGATTCTACTCAGAGTACTGTCAGAGGAGCACTGTAGTGAGAATTTTAGTTTGTTAAAATGACAGGAGCTCTACAAGGAGAGCAACAGATTCAAATATTCTGGGCACAGGGGTCTTTTCTGAGACTGATATTCCAACCAAGAACCATTCATGGAGATAACCTAGAAACCCTGCACAGATGTAGCCCATGGCAGCACCATCTCCAAGTGGGTCCCTAGTAAGGGGAACAGGAACTGTCTCTGACATGAACTCAGTGGCTGGCTCTTTGATCACCTCCCCCTGATGGGTGAGCAGCCTTACCAGTCCGCAGAGGAAGACATTGCAGCCAGTCCTGATGAGACCTGATAGGCTAGGGTCAGAGGGAAGGAGAGGAGGACCTCCCCTATCAGGAGACTTGGGGAGGGGCATGGGAGTAGATGAGGGAGGGAGGGTAGGATTGAGAGGGGATGAGGGAGGGGGCTACAGTGGGGATACAAAGTAAATAAACTGCAAACTGTAATTTATAAAAACATAAATAACTTGAAAAAAAAACCAGTTATATTATATGAATGTGGTTTTGTTTTAATACCAATTGTGGGACATGGGGCTGCTTCAGGTTGTCCACAGCCACTAACTATGATTTGTTTTGTGCTCTAGGAGGAGTGTGATATTTGCCAGCTGCAGATAGTTTATGTTTGGTATATGGGGTCTCTTGAGAGGGTATTAATGGGAGAGCTCAAGAGGGCCAATGGAGGCTGCTGCGGCCACTGCTGCTGATGCTGGTCCCTGCTGCTGCTTTGCTATTGCTGGACTGCTGGATTGCTGGGTTGCTGGTATTCTGATGATGAAGACTGGACTTGTCCCAAGAAACACAATGCCCCTAATTAGCAAGAAGTATTCTAAATAGGTCTATGCCTAATTTCTCCTCTAACCTTCTTTCTTGTCTACCTACTGTTGGCGGTTGGGAGGGGTTGTGGTAAGTAAAAGAACCTAATTAAGTAGCCAAAAAGCTCAGTTATGGAGCATAGACACAATGCTGTTGGTTTTGAATCTTTAGGTTACAGGGCTAAGAGAGCATACATTGTGACATATTGTTACAGCATTAGCAGGAAGCTCACACAGCCCCTCAGAGAAGATTAGAGGCCTGAGACCACCAGTGAGCATTCTCATCTCTCTTCTTCTCTTCTATGACAGCCAGGCTCGAGAAGAATGGAATAAAGTAACAGAAACTTCTGCAGAAAAGTAAGAGAAACAGGTCCCAGGGCATATGTTTCTATGGTCTAGATGAAATAAAGCCACATCCGTTAAAACATTCGTTACTTGTTCATGTAGTATTTTAGCTCTGTCTTCTGAACTGCAGGCAATTGTTGGACGTAGACAGCCAGGAGTGAGACCCAGGGACTAATTGTATAAAGCTCACCTGGAGAATGTTTAGGAATCTGTAGTGCTCTCTCACTAGAGCTAGGGTGTTAGAAGTTGGTCTGATGCATGTTACTGGCCCTCAAGATCTGGTTATGCGTATCCTTGTGTTGTAAACCTACCTCAGACATACCTGATTGGTTGATTAAATGGCCTATACCTGGGCAGGGCAGAATGGGGTAGGCATGGCTAAGGTTCCCAGGCTTAGAGAGGACAGGAGAATCACAGGAGACAGATGGATGGGAAGAGAGGAGGAAGCAAACGCCACGGTGGGATAATGTGGAGAAAAGAGCCACATGGGCTGAGAGGTAGGACTACAATTAGCGGTGTGAAAAGGCCCAAATGATGAATACAAGCAAGTACCATGGGATTATGGATGGAAAGTAGACTAGATGAGGATTAAGATAGATGGCATTGGATGGGGGCTGGGAGATGGATGGTGAGGATATTGAGCTAGCGTAGGTGAAGTATCTGCCTGGCCCACGGTAAATAAGGCAATTATAACATCTAACAGGTGTCTGTGTCTATGTCTTGTTATTTGTAAGATCAGGTTAAATAATACTACTGTGATGATCTTAGGGCTAATAATAATTAATAATATATAACCCCACACTCATTTTTTAAAAATCTACTACAACACTGGGGCCGAGGAATCTGACTTTTAAAGTTCTCAGATGGTTCTGAGGTAGGAAGGATTCAATTTATGCTTTGATCTTAGATAAAGAAAAACACAACCAAAGGCATTAAGTGGCTCAAGTCCTTTAAATCAATTCAAGAAAAAAAAATCTATGAAAAGAGTATAAAGGATGCAGGGAAGTAAATATACCCAGCCAGTGGGGGTGGGGCTAGATTCTCGTGGCCTGGGGGAGGTACTTCCTTTAAGACTTGGTGTTGTGCTTTAGAGATAATATGTCCCCAGAGGCTTCTGTGTAGCAGGCTTGGTGGCCAGCTGGTGGCACTGCTGAAGGATGAGTGAATGGGGTCTCATCAGAAGAAGCCCTTCAAGAGTTGTCCTTTGAAGGGTGTTTATTTTCCCTAGAGTGGTCCCCTCTTCTCACTAACAGAAAGTAAGAAGAAAGCTGGACTTTTTCGCTTTTCAAAAATCACTATTTGTTTTACTGTTGGGAATATTTATTCTACGACGTTTAGTTTAAACCCTAACAAAGGGTGAGCTATGATCCGGGATAGTTTTGCTGCTGTCCTTTGCAAGACTGGAGACTGAAGCAAGGCCTCTATGCTAGCTGAGATAATGGACTAACATTGAGCTTCCTCTCAGCCTGGGAAATGGCACTGTCATGAGTGTGTCAGGGTTGGTGGGGGGGTGTGGAATTTGGGGCAGCGTCTTTCAGTGGTTACAGCTATTCCAGCGCTGACTGTGGGGAGTGGAGGGAGCCCTGAGTGAGTGAAGTCCTGAGGAAATGTGTGCGGCGGAAACATGGGAACAGTCGTGTGAGGGACCGTAGCCTCAGAAGCATGGTAAAATGGCAAAGCCTTCTCCCTGGGAAGAGGCTTAGCAAGATAGTAAAGCCTTCGCTTGGTCGTGTGTAGACGTTGATAGTATGTACAGAAGGCGTCCAGAGTCTTTCCCCCCACCTCAGTATTTACTGCCTGAAGACTACAACCCTACAGGCCCTGCTGCTACGGAGAGTAGCTAAACCCATCTCCTTGGTCCAGCTGTATACCAAAAAACCCTCCCTCTTTGTTTGACTGTTTTTAATAACCCCTCTTCCTTGTTCAGCTGTATGCAACAGTCTCACCTCCCTTTTCATCTCCATATTATGAACACTCTGACCTTTAGGGGTCCTGCGGCTTCTCTGTCAGAGAGCCGGGTCCACTGAGCCAGCTTTTCTTTGTGTCTCTCTGCTCTTGTTTTTCTTCATTTCCTCACCGTACCAGTCAGGTAAAGTCCCCGAAGCTGTGCAAGAACGGTGGCAGCCTGCCTCATCCATATGTGTGGAGAAGGGGCTTCCCCAAATGTCTAGCAATGGTCGAAAGCCTCGCTAGGATGCTGCTCGCTGGTGCTGAGATTGCCCGTGAGACATTTCCCAAATTGTATTTTGTTCAAAGCAGGTTGGTCTTTTAGTCTCTGCACAAGTCGTGTTTTGAGCAAGAAACACAATCAGCTTCAGGAGGATGCCTTTTAAATGTGAGCATCGGTTTAGTCACCCCCCACCAAAGAAAATAAAACAAGGACAAACAAAAGAGATGTCCAGTAGAAAGAGTATACGTACAATTCAATTTTCTGGCAGATCTTGTCCAAAAATGGCAGTGAACAAATATTCAGACCACTTCTAGGATACTTCTGGAGAGGTAAAAAAAAGAGAGCAAAAAGAAGAGCTGGTTAACTCAGGGAATGGATCCCGCGAAAAGACCCCTCTGTAGTCCAGATGGCTGGACCTGAAGCGGGTTCTTTTTTGTTTATCCAGATGTACATCCCATGTTCATTCTCCAGAGGCCCATGTTGGTTCCTGGGACTGGAATCCAGTTTTCCTCGTCACCCAGCCATCTGCTCCCACCTTCACAGTCACCCTTGGACTTCTTCCCGAATGGGTCTTGCCTGCTTTGGTCGGTTACTTAAAATTCCTCTTCTGGAATAATTTGAAAATAGGCTTAAAAACACTTTCAAATAAAACAATTCTATCCTATCAGGATAGATAGGGAGAAACAGTTGCTTCCCACCAGCCCAGAATCCCTCTGGTGACTATGAGGTGTATTTTGAGAAATACCGTTATTTTAACTCTGGCCAAAAACAACTAGCAAAACTTTCAGAATATAGATAAGGTATTATAAGGGTCTTTGTGATACCTTCCCAGCATTCTGTGAATAGAGGTGTAGCCTTAATCAGCAACCCCCTTGTCTATGCAAAGCAGAGATGTCCTCAGCTCATCCTATGGATGGAGGTCCCAGCTTTTAGCATTATTTTTTGGGGTCCAAAGTGAAAGCACTAAAGTGCTCTTTAGGAGCCCTGCAGAGAATGCTGATAACCTAGAAATTAGGCAGAAAGGAGATAGTAGGAAGTAAGGCTGAAATGCAAGAGGCTTTATAACACAATATACAGTCTCTAGCCTGTCTGATATGCAAACTTTCATCCTAGATGTACTAAATTGGGCACCTCAGGGTGAATCCTGGCAATCTATCCTTCCTTATTTATTTATTTTTTATACCATCTTCGTGTCCACTCTCTTGGGTCAATCTGCTGTCCACTAAGGCTTGAGGAACACTATTCTAGGTCCTAACCACTCAAGGTATGGTCATAGTGTCAGTGCCCCCTGAGAGCCCCAGGAAACGCATATATCCTAAGACAGTCTGTATTTCAACAAGATGATCGATGTCCACACCAAAGCTGAAGGAGTCTGAATCCTGACTCAGGGAGCATGCTGCCCCATGCTGCAGACATATGTGAAGGTTTGGCATGTTAGGGGAAGAGAACACATTTCATTGTTGCTGGAGCATTGGAATCCACATAATTCCACGAATCATTCAAGAAATAAGGCACTATGACAGCTTAGAATGCATCTTCCTATCACCCCAAGAACAGTGGAGAATCCGTGAAGGAGTCAGTCTGGAGACTATATTTGTATCTCAAAAGCATATCTGGGGATGGGTTGCCTAGAGGAGGGAGGAGGGAAAGAGCTTGTTGGAGATGCAAGTCTGGGCTTCCCAGCTCTAGGCTGCCTTGTGTACGGTGTGACAGCCTCTCCTTGCTAGATGCCAGCAGCACAAATCAGTGTCTAGGCTGTGCCAAGTGTTTCCTACAATGCTATGAAATTGGGTAAAAGGCAGTAGCAGTGGAAGAAGGTTAAAGTCAAAGACTCAGGGTCTGGTTGAGATCAGCACTTCAGGCACACAGTAAAGCAAACACCAGCACGATCTTATACAAATCATTGGTGACAGCAGAGACACATTCTGAGACTTAAGTCAGCTGCATTCAGATGTTGAAACTACTTCTCTTAGTATTTACTTTAGTCATCAAGCCTGCCTAATTATTCTAATGACAATGTAGAGTTCAACATTGATGAAAACCAACACATACAAATTATGCGAACAGACTTACAACTACTACATGAGGTATAATAGGATAAAATTTTATAATTGTACAACTATTCATTGTCAAAATCCATCTGGAAGACTGCAGGTGTCATTGATGTTTTTTTTCTGTGCACTCTTTTTTTAATTTTTATTTAACTTTTATTAATTACACTTTATTCAATTTGTATCCCCCCATAAGTCCCTCCTTCCTCCCCTCCCGATCCCACCCTCCCTCCCCCTTCTTCACACATGCCCCTCCCCAAGTCCACTGATAGGGGAGGTCCTCCTCTCCTTCTTTCTGATCTTAGTCTATCAGTTCTCATCAGAAGTGGCTGCATTGTCATCTTCTGTGGCCTGGTAAGGCTGCTCCCCCCTCAGGGGGAGGTGATCAAAGAGCAGGCCAATAAGATTATGTCAGAGGCAGTCCCTCTTCCCATTACTATGTAACCCAATTGGACACTGGCTTATCTCCATGAATAGTCCTTGGTTGGAGGATGAGTCTCTGGGAAGTTCCCTGTGTTCAAATTTTCTTGCTCTATTGCTCTCCTTGTGGAGTTCCTGCCCTCTCCAGCTCTTGCTATTTCCCACTTCTTACATAAAATTCCATTCATTCTGCCCGACAGTTGGCCATCAGGCTCAGCATCTGCTTTGATAGTCTGCAGGGCAGAGGCTTTCAGAGGCCCTCTGTGGCAGGTTCCTAGGTTGTTTCCTGTTTTCTTCTTCTTCTGATGGCCATCCTCTTTGCCTTTCAGGATGGGGATTGAGCATTTTAGTTAGGGTCCTCTCTTTTGCTTAGTTTGTTTAGATGTACAGATTTGAGTGTGTTTATCCTATGTTTTATGTTTATATGAGTGAGTATATACCATGTGTGTCTTTTAACTTCTGGGACAACTCACTCAGGATGATCCTTTCCAGGTCCCACCATTTACCTGCAAATTTCATGTTTTCCTTATTTTTCATTGCTGAGTAATACCAGCATTGTATAGATGTACCACAATTTCTGCATCCATTCCTTCAGTTGAGGGGCATCTGGGTTGTTTCCAGCTTCTGGCTATTACAAATAAAGCTGCTACAAACGTGGTTGAGCAAATGTACTTTTTGTGTACTTGAGCCTCTTTTGGATATATGCCTAGGAATGGTATGGCTAGATCTTGAGGAAGCGCTATTCCTAGTTGTCTGAGAAAGTGCCAGATTGATTTCCAGAGTGGTTGTAGAAGTTTATATTCCCACCAGCAGTGGGAATGTAATTTCTCCACAACCTCTCCAGCATGTGTTGTCCCTTGAGTTTTTCATCTTGGCCATTCTGATGGGTGTAAGGTGAAATCTCAGGGTCGTTTTGATTTGCATTTCCCTAATGGCTAATGAGGTTGAGCATTTCTTTAAGTGCTTCTCTGCCATTCAATATTCCTCTACAGAGAATTCTCTGTTTAGCTCTGTTCCCCATTTTTTAAGTGGATTACTTGGTTTGCTGCTTTTCAGCTTCATTAGTTCTTTATATATACTGGATATGAGTCCTCTGTCAGATAAAGGTTTGGTGAAGATTCTTTCCCAATCTGTAGGCAGTCGTTTTGTTTTGATGACGGTGTCCTTTGCTTTACAGAAGCTTTTCAGTTTCATGAGGTCCCATTTATCGGTTGTTGCTCTTAGAGCCTGTGCTGTTGGTGTTCTATTCAGGAAGTTTTCTCCTGTACCAATGAGTTCTAGGGTATTCCCCACTTTTTTATCTAGCCGATTTAATGTGTCTGGTTTTATGTTGAGGTCTTTGATCCACTTGGACTTCAGTTTTGTGCAGGGTGATAAGTATGGATCTATTTTCATTTTTCTACATGTAGACATCCAGTTGGACCAGCATCATTTGTTGAAGATGCTATCTTTTTTCCATTGTATGGTTTTGGCATCTTTGTCAAAAATCAGGTGTCCATAGGTGTGGGTTTATTTCTGGGTCTTCTGTTCGGTTCCATTGATCCACCATTCTGTTTCTATGCCAGTACCATGCAGTTTTTATTACTGTTGCTCTAGAGTACAGCTTCACATCAGGGATGGAGATACCTCGAGAGGATCTTTTATTGTAGAGGATTGTTTTAGAAATCTCGGTTGCTTGTTATTCCATACGAAGTTGAGAATTTTTCTTTCCAGATCTGTAAAGAATTGTGTTGGCAGTTTGATGGGAATTGCATTAAATCTGTAGATTGCTTTTGGTAAGATGGCCATTTTTACTATGTTAATCCTGCCAAGCCATGAGCATGGGAGATCTTTCCATCTTCTCATATCTTCTTCTAATTCTTTCTTAAGGGACTTGAAATTGTTTTCATATAATTTCATACACCAAGGTACTTTATGTCATTTGTGGCTATTGTGAAGGGTGTTGTTTCTCAAATTTCTTTCTCAGCCATTTTGTCTTTTGTATACAGGAGTGCTACTGATTTTTTTGAGTTAATTTTGTATCCGGCCACTTTGCTGAAGGTGTTTATCAGCTGTAGGAGTTCCCTGGTAGAGTTTTTGGTATCACTCATGTATACTATCATATCATCTGCAAATAGTGATAATTTGACTTCTTCCTTTCCCATATGTATCCCCTTGATCTCCTTCAACTGTCTTATTGCTCTAGCAAGGACTTCCAGCACTATGTTGAAGAGATATGGAGAGAGTGGGCAGCCTTGTCTTGTCCCTGATTTCAGTGGGACTGCTTTAAGTTTCTCTCCATTCAGTTTGATGTTACCTATAGGCTTGCTGTATATCGCTTTACTATGTTTAGATATGTGCCTTGTATCCCTGTTCTCTCCAATACTTTAAACATGAATGGATGTTGGATTTTATCAAATACTTTTTCAGCATCTAGGGAGATTATCATGTGTTTTTTTCTTTCAGTTTGTTAATATGGTGGATCACATTGATGGATTTCCATATATTGAACCACCCCTGCATACCTGGGATGGAGCCTACTTGGTCATAGTGGATAATATCTTTGATGTGTTCTTGTATTCTGTTTGCAAGTATTTTGTTAAGTATTTTTGCATCAATGTTCATAAGGGAGATTGGCCTGAAATTCTTTCTTAGTTGAGTCTTTGTGAGGTTTAGGTACCAAGGTGACTGTGGCTTCATAGAATGACTTTGGTAATGTTCCTTCTGTTTCTATTTTGTGAAATAGTTTGAAGAGAATTGGAGTTAGCTCTTCTTTGAAGGTCTGGTAGAATTCTGCACTGAAGCCATCTGGTCCAGGGCTTTTTTTGGATGGGAGACTTTCGATGACCGCTTCTATTTCTTTGGGAGATA